ACAACATGACACAGCTGTGCTTCTTTGAGGTGTTTACCAAATGACCCAAAGAGTGACTTCAGCATGGAAGGTTAAGTTGCGAATAAAATCATGCATTTTCCGCACTTATTTCTGATAATAGAAATCACACACAATGTTTGAAAAACTACATGACTTTTCCTTTATTTTTATCATTTTTACAAAATTCCATAACTTTTCCAGGCCGTGAGGTCCCTGTAGATGTGAAAAGGGAGTTTGAACAACAGTGGCAAAATGGGAGTCTGGTGTATGTGTATTTACCAAGCTGAAAGGGAACAGTGGTTGCTAAAATTCAACACTTTATGACATTTTCTCAGTTAGCCTTGCAGAAGTTTTGATTCTGCTGAAACAAGAAGAGGGGGGCTGGGAGGCCAGGGTCACCCCCACCATGTACTTACATGTATGATTGGTATGTCAAGAAATACTTGACTCTGGTGATCTACAGAGAATAAGTATTAGAGAGTGGAGTTGTTGTCACATATGGGAAATGTTGTGCTTCTTCCAGCTTATAGCTGGTTAATATAACCCCAAGCATACCACCTTCTAGAATGTGATCATCATGGCGTCATGATTTATTTCAGTTTTTCAAGCTAATTCAGACTGTTGATAATAATTACAAAGATTAAATTGACAGATCAGCAACAAGTATGTAAATGTGTTTAGGTAAATTTAGTAAGCTTGACTGAACAAATTAAAAGCTGTTAAAGTTCTGTTCATTAAATAGTATCATTGCTCTGACGTTGCATTGCTACATGTACATGTGATTGTGAGCATCCACGTCAATTAAACCAGACTTGTTTCACTTTAAGTATTTTGGACTTAAAAAATCTGACATTCCACTTCTGTAGTAATAAAGAGATCCAGATGAATTTTTTTCTCTGGAAATTGTACTTCAGTCTCCCAATGTTGCTATGGTATTCAAATACCTTTAATTATGTGCAACCCAAACACACAACTTGCTCAATTCACTTGCCACCAAGTGCTGAGTAATACTTCTGAAATGTAAATTCTACTGGTAAGTTCTTTGGATGATCTGCTATAGAGTAGCACAGTGACCATGTAACGTACACAATTATCTGTGTAAAAGGCATTAGTGCACGGACCAACATGTGAACCAACACGTACATGTACATGTACACTATTCATTTGTACAACATTCCCTGGTTGACATGATGTCACACTTCAGTACTCTGTTCACTGATTCTCCACAAGGCTCAGGCATTCTTCAAGCAGTTTAAACCACTTGACCAACAATATCGGTAGTTTGAGAAGCTGTCGATACGATGGAGATGGACATGAAATGCAGTATAGTATACAAATATTGACTGCCTCAAGTGGTGTAGTAAAACAAGATTCCAGCACCTCAGAAGGCTATTTTTACTACATCACAAGATAAAAATGTCAATATCTGTTTCAAAACACTTCTACAAATTCTGCTTGATTAAAACCATGACTGATTTGATCTAACTACATATAAAAATACATGTATTTGAATAAGGAATTTGTTGAAAATTTACCAGTACGTTTCCACATTACCTCTTCACAAAATTTGTAAACTTAACTACTGTTGATAGTGCTAGCTCTTCAGAATGTGCAGAACAAGCCAGTGTGCATTTGCATGCAATGCCGGAGGTCATGCATATACAGTCCAACACGGTTAATAAGAACTCAAAGGGACTCTCCAAAAAACCCTGTCTTACGGTGAACCTCATGTTATCCCCTGCATAGAGCGCAAGCCTGGCGTCATGCACCAGCAAGCATTGTTATACAGTCTACGGTAATGTAATGTACATGTACAGTACAGTATATGCACTGGATTAGTATTCAATGTACATATACTAACCTGTAACTTTTTAATAAATTTAGAATCATATTTATCAATGTAATTGGAATGAATGAAACAAAGACTTCAAATACACCTACATGTACTTGTTAACGCAACAGTAGACAACAATGGTATAAGTGGCCGGCCGCACCACGCCGTGTGGCGTCGTGGCGAAGCACTACCTGGAAACTGGTACCCGATGCTACACGTAAGTAAAGGTTTCTTACTGGAGAACCAGTTCACGCATGTAAAGGACCGGACCAGCCCCGTGTTACAATAGATACTGCCACTCATTTGTGCTTTTGCATTCAAATACAAGTACTGCTGCACCCACTCACTTGGTGGACTGTGCAAGAAGTCGCTGTCTTCTATATTCCCACACTAATAGTGCACCACTAACATGGACATTGAGTGAGCGAATGATTCCTTGTTGGGGTATCTCCACACACACGTCCAGCAACTGGATCAACTCCACAGGAATGCCAGTGCGCTCATGTCTGCAAGGTTACAAAAGAAAGCAAATTCCTTTTTTTCAGGAAAAGAAATCAGAAAGGGAACAAGAGCCAAGTAAGTCTAAATATTATTGGGAATGATCTTCAAAGAGCTTGTGGTTCTACCATCTTTGGTGTCAGGCAGGTCAGAAATGAACACTGTTGGCTACTTCTTTGACTCTATTCATTGTAGCACACTAATGGCAAAAACTGAAACCAGTATGCACAAAATAAATGCTCAGTAAGGAAAAGGCCTGACATGAAAGACGGCAGACATGATTGGTGGAAATTTGATACAAAGAGCACCAGTGACTCTGAATACAACCTACATGAGTACTTTGTTGCCATTCTCACAAAAGGTACTGGCAAATCCAAAGACAATTTTATTGACTTTTCAAAATTTAAAACAATGTACCCAATCAAGCTGGCTTGCCATTGGTATCAACACTTGCCAATAACTATGTTTCTAATCACATTTATAATACAATGAGATCACTTCTAAATACATTAAATTCATTTTCAGAACCAACATAAACATGCATGTCCCTTGAGGTTACACAAAATTTGATGTCAGAAAGGTGTAATGGTAGACCAACTGATACTTATGTTTTCATGAAGGACATCTTTACTGACTAATTTTGGCTGAATAATCACCTTAATTATAATAACAACTGTTTGGGTTGTGTAAAGGTATTTTTTTTGATGATTTCTACTGCATAATGGAAGTTGGGAACAAAGTTTACTTTTTTCCAGTTTAAAACTAGCGGGAACTTCCCCTGCCAGAATTCCCAGAATTAAAATTCTAATCAGATATGACTGCATTAATAGGTAAAATGGAGACTGTTACAAGATTGCATACTCAGAAAGATATTATTAATCCAGTAGAAACATACCCAAGCAGTAGAAGTGTTCTTTCTTGGAATTGATACTTGGTAAGGCATTGACTTCTGGCAGTCTGTTCAACTCCTACCAGTGTGTAGCCCTTGTGCCTCATTGCTTGGAGATAAGATGCCAAATCACTCACTGGGACCTTAAGAAACAAAATCAATATAACTCAGCATACAGACAACATCTCAGTAAATGCCCCTTTTCTTTCTTAGACCATGTTTGAATAAACTGGCTGCAGAAAGTATTTTTTAAGCCAAACTCCAGTTTTAAGTCTGACAAACTAACTAACTAACTTTGATATACTGAGGCTAACAAACATGTACCTTGAGGGACTTGTGAGAAAATGTATTGAATAGACTTTCATTCAGCCCCGTAGCTTGCATAAGAAAAGATGTTCACATGATGCAACTACATGTACCTACCTCTATGATGGGCAGCCATTTTTCAGCAGTGACACTCAGTGTTTGAAATATTTTGTCTGTAGTTACTCGGAGGTTGCCAACAACCAGTGTTGATACACCAAATATCTGGCTTGTACGACACAGACCTTTGTCCAAGAATAAACAACAAATACCCGTTTCAGACAGGTGTTCTAGGGTGGTGCCGAATGGAACAGAATTAAGAGCAACTCGGGTCGACCCTATTAAATTTGGTTTCAGAAAGACGAACTTAATACATGCACATACATTTGCATTGGGTTCAACCCATTAAAAGAGCGACATTTGAAACAAAGTTGCTCTGGTATCGTTCCAAGTGCCTTCGAGTGTTGATCTCTCGCCTGGTAGCACACCTGGTCGCTCCTTACTGTTTCGGACATCAAACTTTTGCTGTACTTAATTCAAAATTTGCTTTTAATTTGGTTCAGCGCAACTCTAGAATGCATTTGAAAAGGAAATTCCCATACCACTGTTTGTGCAAGAGATATAGAAAAGCTATCTCAATGCAAATATGTCACCAACTCCCCATTAGCCACTCTTGATCAGATTATGATGATGAAAATTGAACCTTTCTAGAAAAGGGTTCAAATCTTTCGGGTATTAATGTCCAATGCAAAGAAAAAATGATATAAAGCCAACAAAGGTTGAAAAAATATTGGTTCTGGCTTTAAAAATAGTCTGAATCCTGTCTCAGTCTGTTAGCTGTGATGCACCCAAGATTGAATGCAAATATCAAAAGCACAAGATCAGATGTTATTAATATGGAGAATTTGAAGAAAATTGGCACAGACCTTCAAATAAATTGTGGCAATGACAATCTGAATTCAAAATTTGGGGTGACAACAGAATGATCTAGATTGAAAATTGCAAAATGGGGCATTGGTGATATACATGTATGGTTTACAATGTGTGATTGGGCAAAATCCTATACATTTGTGATATGACCCTCCACACAGTGACAGTGAGCTTTGTCATTTTGGTGCATATCAATTTTAAACTGATCTGGACACTGTCCTGTTTTCAAAACTGTTAATTCATGATTCTAGACAATCTACATTGATGTTGCAGACAACCGAGAATCATAAATGTAATACATCTGATAGTGCTGCGAGTAGGTGCCAATGTTCGATTCGGGTTTCGTTCAGACACGATTCGGAAATTTTTTGCTAAACTTCAGTTAAGTTCAGGCACATATACAATTCGCATTGAGACATCGAACAGCATGCTACAAATGTGCTGTATATATAGTACTTCCATGTGTAAACTACGTTAATACAAGCAATGAATCTCCTCTCCATCTGTATCTGCGAACAACTTCGATGTGAACATTTTTAAACTGTTTCCCCAAAGTTTGTTTAGGAGTTAAAATTCCATAGAAAGTTACCGTTGGAGGTATGACAGTTTCCAAATGTGTTTTGCCAACAAAAGCGGTTGTGTTTGGACCACGCTTGACTCAACAAACGATCATAGGATATGTGAAAACAAGACGAAACAGCATGCTCAAATGTGAGTTTCCTCCTTTACTACTAGATCAACTTAGATCTAGTAGCAAATTGTGTTTTGGTTATTTTTCATGAAATAGATTTAACTGCCAAACCATGGCTTTTGATATATTAGAAGAAGAGCCTTGGTAACAAGTCAGCATTCTTTCCCAGGACTGCGCCCACGTGGCCAGAGGGCAATTTTCATTCAGTCTTTTTCAAATGGATAACAGCATTTTGTTATTTGAGATTTGCGAACAACTTAGAGATCTGGCAAAATTCCATTATAACGTATTCACACTACTTCTTTGATCAAACGTGATCCACAAAGGGCAGGTTGGGCCACCGCATGAACCAAATCTTGTCTTTGCCCGTGCTGGAGCACTGCACCTGCTGCACCTGGCAAAATTAGTTTTCCCTCCAGAGTTGCCTTCGATCAAGCAAAACTTTGACTGTGATCAGCATCCAATCAAAATTTGTTTTGCATGGCCACGTATGACATCACTGACCCAATATGAAACCTGAGGGTGTGGCTATCAGAGATTGGCAAACATAACGCTGTATCTGATATACATAAGCACTATTGGATGTAGTGAGAATTTAGATCTGTTGTGCAGCAGAAATGCCGTACGCTGCATGTTCTCGGGTTGATTATTTGTGAATTCTCACCACATAGTTTTTACAACCATCATGTGATACAGGGCCATCGTAAGTTTACTGTACATATACGAACATGAACAGTACATTTATAGTACGTGTGTACACGCACATGTGCTGAGTGCCGGTGCGGCACTGGTACAGCACAACTCGTTATCCATTTTTCAGTGTGCTTGCTTTTTTATCACGTTTTCTTGCAGGCATTTCAAGCACTATCAATGCCATGCCATGTTAAAGGCAAGCATCCAAACCCATCAGTTTGGTTTCGTTCAGTTCAGTTAAAAAATGCCATGTTTCCGACGATTTTTGGTTCGGTTCGGCGGCAGCACTAATACATGTATGTAAAAACAAGAGTGTTCATATTTATTTGAATTTGATATGCACCCAAGTGCCAAAGCTCACCATGTGAAGGTTTTTTGCAGATTACATCACATTAATCCATTATAATTTACAAAAAATAAAATATTGGCCATTAAGTATTAGTATCTGTCTAACCCTGCTCTGCTACATGTACACCCTGCGAAATACTTCATTATGCCATCACCAAATGTGACTCACTCTGCAAACAAGGATAGGTCGTGCAATGCCAAAACAAGTTATGCCCTGTTCTATTTGTAAAGGGCAAAATTTCTTAAAAACATGTTTTTTTTTCTCCTTTAATTGCTTCTAGAAAATTCATATTTTCAGAATTTGTGATTACCAACATGGATACTTATGAATAAAGATGAAAAATTGATCATTCAGTAGGAAATCCTACATACGGTAGCATTGTGTTTTCAAGTGCTACTTTTCTAAACTTTCTCTCAAAAAGTGCTTTAATGTACATCTATGAGGGACCCGCATGTAATAAAGAGTTCATCACATACATGTACTGTATTGTAAATCAAGGTTATTCAAGACTGAATGCAAACCACTACTGACATGAGCTATAGGGTGGGGTTAAGCAGGTTCTCCTCAAGGTTTGTTATCTTTGATCACCTACATCAATTACGCTAGTTTTACAGACTAAGTATGCTGTGAGTTGTAAACTTCATAAGAAGTGCTGTCATTGATAGCAAAAGGCCCTTTCCAGCCAGGTACAGTATCGTTCAAAGTTATCTGCACTCCTGCATGATTCACGCAGGGCCGAAAAATACAAATTTTAGTAGCTACGTTTTCACACATGGGTTGCCGTGATTGTGCACTATCCACACATGGCCCGCGTGGACATTCGTTGACATTCTGTTCTTTGAAAAAATCTCCACAAATGCTGAGTACGGTACAGGACGCCTGCTCCCATTTCTTCAGTTAGCTCTACGTCCTGTAAATACCAGTAACATGTACATGTAAGCCTAAAGATATGTTTTTTTGGCCTAATTTGGTGATTTATGGTGATAGAAATAAGATTCCGTGGCTTACAAATCATTGGCCATCATGTATGCTACATCAAACAAACCACCAACTCGCTACTTCTCTGTCTTTGATGCATTTGCAAAAGCCCGACCAATCAGAGTAGTTTTGAAAATACTGTCAAGGGTTCTAGGGACATTCCTTTGCAGCCGTGATGCATGCTGGTGCATGAGGGTCCTGCCATGCTTAACACAGTTGTCCTTTTTGAGGCTACTCCGGCTAATTCCTCTCACGAGAGTGTCAGGAAAATTTTCGAACAGCTTTGATTTTTCCTTCATGTGATCGACAAAGTTTACAGTAAAGGATGATTCCCTTAGACTGCTGTTCCTGCTTCAACCATGGCATGTCATTCTGCCAATTCCTGAAGATGTGGTTCGACGGAACTTTTGGCATTTTGACAGTTTTAGTAGCAACATAAACGTGTGGGTATAGTATGCAGTAGTATAGTAATATATACTATACTACTATAGTAGTATAGTAAAAGTGTCAAACAACAGCGTGTATATGTACAAGAACATGTAGTTTGTGTCGCCAAAACAACCGCATGTACATGTACTGTGGGTGTGTCGCTCACGTGTACGTTATTGTATGAACTACATGAGCTGATGCACAAAACTGCAGCAACTTCATGCCCAAGGCCACCATTGGTGCGCTTATAAAAACGATGGAAACTTAGGGTAAGTGCCAGCGTGTTTTTGCCCTTGATTTACGCAAGGTCTTGGCAGGCCGTCGCGCACCACGTATACTGCACCACGCAGCGCCAGCTGGGCAGACATTTTCAGTGAACATTGGCCGTCATGACGTTGCCAAAATAATTTTGGCAATCTAGCTGGCCGGCCGGCCGGCCGTTACCGCGCAGGTATGTCAAGCGTCGGTTATGGTTTTGCATGAATTATCAGAAATTTTGATTCACAAAAAATGCTGATCGTTTTCAGATTTGTCCCACATTTTGCGATACGAACCCAATTACTTCCATCACTGACATGTGAAAAAACCTTACAAAGACTCTAATGAAAATGTCACAGATTTGGTTGGAACTGGATGAAGTACAAACCCCTCTCATGTGAGCTCTTGAATCGGATGTAATTAGAACTACAGTATACCAGATTGTTCAGTTTGGAACTCAAAATCACATGCCTAGAAAAATTGCACACCTGAAAATATACTGGAGTGTTTTTTCACATGCCTAATATTTCCCAATCACAAGGACTGGCGTCCTTAACTGTACCTGGCGAGATTTTTTTTTTTGGTCCACACGGACCACGCATGGATAGCGTGGAAATCATGGCAACCCACGGATGAAAACTTAGCTACTAAAAATTTGTATTTTGGGGGCCCGCGAGATTCATGCAGGAATCTAGATAATTTTGAATGATACTGTACATAATGGCAGAACTTTTGATTGATTGTCTGTTAATAAAAACTTCAGGCCTGTCCATTTATGATACATTTTGTTAACAGGCTACAGATGTACATGATGAGATCTTCACTCAAATATGAGTCTGCCAAGATCCTGATCAGACCAAGGATTTTTGTCCTTGATTCCTGTTAAGACCAGTGTGCAGGCAAGTCTTGGTCATCCTACTCAATGGGTAATCTCTACTGAAACAATCACATCTCGAGCCCTCATGGCTTGCATCAAGACTTACCTCCTAGATTTGGTGCCTTGTCTATGAGTGATGCTACAAGTATCAGACTATCCTTCCTTGATCCCTTCTCCTGCCCTGCTGTCCCAATGACATCATCAAATCCAGGCATCAGTGTATCTTGCCAAGGAATAATCTTTTTCTGGACATTAGAATCCTTGTCAATAGATTCAAAGGTTGAACTCACCACACTCATACCTTTGAAAGAAACAAAGTGGTCAAGCTACAAAAATTGCATTCAATAAAACATGTTCAAGCAGGCTGTAAATAATTTCCATGGATACAGACAAACAGGGCATGTGATAAGTGTGGTATCATGAAGATCAAAGAAATACCGCCAAGTTATTTTTCTACCAGAGAGGACAGACTTTACAACAGCAGAATGTTTAAACTTCTTCAAAACTTGCTCTAGCACTTACAAGTAACTTTCTGCCCTGGATGCCATTACAGACACTTATATATAAAGTTTGCTAAAAATGAAAAAGGCACAAATCAAATTAGAATTACACAATAAAATCTGAAAATCAGGTTAAATGGGGTACCAAGGAGCATTTGAAAGAACTGCATTAAAAGACTATATTGCATGGGTCTTTAATGCTATGGTTTTGATTCTAGTATTTGTCTCACCAGGAATGGCTTGTGCTGCTGACGGCTGTACACAGAGACTTATACAGTACTCTTCTTGTATCAGAGAATTCTCTGGGTTATACAGACGAATTATAGGATGAAATTTGTTGGAGTTGCTCCACAATAAAGGGGAATCCTTGTCAAAGAGCTTGGGATCTAGAAATTCATCACTGGCCAGGGAGCACAAAACTGGAAGAATGTGAAATATTGTCTGCAAAAAGATAAAATAAATGGAACTGTTAGACAAATGTCAAACAGTTGTCAAATCGGCACAATTATGCAACAATAAAATCACCACAGGGCATTTGGTGGTGTACCGCTTACCAATCAAGGCTGAATCAAGGAAACGAATGGACTGACCAACTACACTTAAATATTAAAGAAATAACTCATCCCTGTTATAATGGAAAGTGAATCATTATTTCTCCTAAAAGTCTTGCCTTATTTTGCACAGGCACGGTGTGGCAGGAACCAGTGCACATATGTTCATGCCCCTCACTTAGTTGGTGTGCATGCACACTGAATCCCATTACAGCGCCAGAAGCCATTATGGCTCTTGACTCGTCCAGATGGACACCAAAAGTAATCGATCAATATCAAGCTCAGATAAAGTTGTTTGCCCCTCAATTCCGTACCGATGAGAATCGAAACACTCAAAGTCCCTTTTGCTAACTTGCACACTATAAAAATCCATTTTCCGCCAAATTTTTGCAGGTTTTTGTCACGTACCTCCGAAGTAACAGAGTCAGAAGTTGAAAGTGAAGCTAGCTGTAAGTTTTGCTAGGTTTCCCTGACATTTCCCTACTTGTGAATGGTGAGGAATATTATGAACACTCTAATGAGAAAGTATCATACAAGAAGGTAACCGTATGGATTAAAAGGATTGATTTTTGTTTGTGCCTTTTAGTCAGGCAATTTGGCATGATTGTAGGTATTCCTGCAATGCAGTAGGCCAACTCGTACCCAAACACACTCATATTCAGGTGTGTGTACGTGTGCACCATGCCCGAAATCCAGACATTTTATTTTTGACCACTGCCAAACTCAGTGCGGAAATTTGAATCCGCAAGAAAAACAAACCGCATTTCAGACAAATGACTCTTGATCTTGACAAAAATGAGCTGATAGATACAAAAAATGTATCAGTCTTCCAAACGGTATCACCGATGATCTGAGGGGAATTTGACAAAATAAGGTAAAAAACATGGAAAATGACAAAAGTGGGTCCCTATGAAAAACGAAATGAATTTCAAAAAATTTTTTGTACATAAAAGTTACTAGTCTTTCATGTGGCATCAAAGTTATTTGAAGGTAAACTCTTTGATTTTCCCGCGATCTTTCTTACCAGAAGCTATTAAATTTCACCATTTGATAGACAATGGCAATTTATTCACACACGAGGACTTCAAATGAAATGGCAGTATCAATCCCTCACATGGGTCACCAACGATATGCATTGTCTGCTAGAATAATTTTTCAGGCCGACAACCACTGTGTCACTATTGCGCATGCGTGAATACACAAACTAAACGCATGCACAGTCTATGGGGACCAACAAATGTGAGTGCAGCATCACTTCGATTCATTGAGCATTACTGCGTATATTTCATCACCACGACAGCAAAACATGAAGGGAACCCGTGAAAATAAGAAGTTGCAGATTTAAGTCAGAAAACATGTAAATACAAGCATTTTAACATGAAAAAGGTTGTTCAGAGGTGTTTTGTGATGATAGAAAAGACAACAGGATTTATTTTTGTTATATTTTTGAAATTTGTCTAATTTCCGTACCGACAAAAATTTTAGGGTTGTGCTGAAAATTCAGGGTTGTGCTGAAAATTCAGGGTTGATCGGAAAAACCACAAGTAAATTTTTACCGAATTTCAATAATGTTATTAACAATGTCTGACATGAGTGTAGATGAGAACTATTGCTTCCCTAGTATGTGCATTATGGCCAAAACAGAAGGTCTCATGTATGGTAAATTGGAAGAAAAAATGATGTTGCCTTGTAATAATGTTCCAATGCAGCAAGGTGTGAAGCAGTCTTGACATACATGTTCATTAAAGGGGATGGGCCATGCTGGGAAGATTTCTTGTATAACATGGATTAACACATAAAATAAAACATACATATAACAAGAAAACACATCTGCATAATTTCAAAATGCGCGGAAATAAGTTAAAATTATAAATTTCACGACCCTATTTCACTCCCCTCTCAAAGCAAAACTAAACAACAGCCGTTGGGTACCGAAAGTTGTCTGAAGAAATTCCCAAGAACCGGGACACCATAGGACAGAGTCCTTTATCCAACGACTGTTTACTGTTTACGCGTCGACAAGTATGTAATGAAGTAGCGTTAGCGTGTGCCATCATGTCAGACTCAAGCGACGATAATTCCAGCGTTGATGCTCTTTCTCATCATGACAGCAATTAGTTGTCATGTTTGTCTTATTCATTTGACAAAGAAAGTGACATTGAAGGAGCTGATGAGGCACAAGAAATATTGCCTTATCAGTTCAAGACAAGAATATACTAAGGAAGAGATTTTACAACTCGAGGCTGTTGGCCACGGGCATGGTGGCGACCCAGAGGACCGACAACAAAACACTGACTAATTTTGGAATTTGCCCTGCCCGACGTGTATTATAACACTGTATGCTCAGTGTTTGCCCCCAAAGGCTTGTGAGAAAACCCACGACTTCCTTCTTACTGGTGCAGATGGCTTAACCACCGAGCTTGCTGATGTCAACTGGCTGGTTCGGGTCAGATGTAGCAGCGGGTACTGCGAACAACTATTTCCAAGCTCGGTGGTCCCTAGTGCAACTCTATCCTTGGAAAAACACTGACTGGTAATGATGTTTTCCTGCACCATTATAAAAATTTGTCTTCCTGAAAAGATGTAATTGTCCTACCATTGGCTATTCGATAGCTGTAATTGCTGATGTTTGTTTAGTATCAACTTTCTTGCTGGAACAATGAATTCTGGACTGGAAAGTCGAGTCCTTCCTATGACGTAACAGTTTTGCCAACATTTGTCTGCTGCCCTCATTGACCGATTTCAATAAATTTTTGTGAAGAGCCCAGGTGGACACTGAAAAAGCACAGAAAACACCAAGTTTGCAGATTTAATAACGTAACAGAGGGGCCAATCCAACTTACTGCTTGTAAGACGGTTGAAAACTATCATATAACATTTAACCCTACATGGCCCATCCCCTTTAATTGTGCGCACACATTCTGACATACCTGCATGGTGTAATCATGAATAGGATGGACACTGAAGAGAAAGAAGTTACTAGCTGGTTTGTGTTGTGAGTGTACAACAGAGCTGTAAAAATGCGAACAAAAGGGCAACAAAGTCATACACAAGATCAATATTTGAATAGTTCATTAGCTTAAAAAAAATCTTATTTAAGGCCACAAAAAGTCTTCCGTCTTTGGTCAGCACACATCATATTTCAAGAATGCATATCAGTCTTTTTTTTTGAGATGCTGCAACAGCACCTCTATTGCCGCACTACCTTTACCACTTCCAGCCGGGGGCTCCGGTACCGGAGCCATAGGCCTTATATTCGTGGCCGGGGATTCCGAAATCGGAACTTTACTATAAAAAAAAAAGTTGCTGGGCGTTTCTTAAAAAGTTTGGGGCTGTCAGTTAAAAAGTTTAAGCCATCATTGGCGGTAAATAAATTGGTCCAAGGCAATAATGGGTTGCTGGAGCCGGTGAATTGTGACTTTATTTTATAGCCGGGGTGACCGAACTTATAAAAGCCTGGAATAAAAGTACGAGTTGCTGAGAGCTGCCGGGCACTGCCCAATCAATCCCTGTATTCTTTCAGCGCAGAGCGCTGCAATTAGCGGAGGTAATCCGTGTATTGTTTGTGCAGAGCGCATTTGTTCGCGCTGCCTGGCGCTCGCAGCAGATTATCACTGCACTGCACTGAAGACAAAGCGCGGG